TGAGGCTTTTACGAGGTTTGTTGAATGGAAAACACTAATTTAAAATCAAACCGGTAAAAGAATTAAGAGATTGAGGACTGATAATGGCTTAGAGTTTTGTAGTAATGAATTTAACACTTATTGTAGTAAGGAAGGAATTTCTAGACATCATACATGCACTGACACCCCACAACAAAATGGGGTGGCTAAGCGTATGAATAAAACCATAATGAACAAAGTAAGGTGCATGTTAGATGAGTCAGGGTTGTCTAAGAAATTCTGGGCAGAAACCGCTGCTACTACTTGTCATTTAATTAATAGATCCCCATCTCCAGCCATTGATTTTAAAGTCCCAGAGGAGAAATGGTCTAATGCTAAGCCTAGTTACCAACATCTTAGAGTTTTTGGGTGTTTAGCTTTTGTACACATTAATCAGGGAAAGTTAAATCCTAAAGCTAGAAAAGGAGTTTTTCTAGGCTATCCTAGTGGGGTTAAAGGTTATAAGATATGGCTTTTAGAAGAAAGGAAGTGTGTCATAAGTAGAGATGTAATTTTCAATGAAACATGTTTTATAAAACTGACCCCAAATTGCAAGAAACAGCCAGCTCTAAACAAGCTGAGCAGAATTTTGAGATGTAGGTGGAGCTACCAACAGAAACAGAAATTTCTGGAGAACATGAACATTTCTTCCAAGATCAAGGTAGAGCTATTCCAAATGCATCACAAGCTGAGCAATATGAACAGCAAGCTGAGGGACAAAGGAGCCAGTTGACAGAGAACTTGGAGCAATCAGAAAAAGGTTTCAGAAATGAAGAAAATCAAGAAGAGAGTCTAGCCAATTATGTATTGACAAGGAATATAACAAGGAGACAAATCAGACCGCCTTCCAGATTTGTAAATGCTGATCTTATTGCCTTCACACTTAATGTGGCAGATCAATTAGAGCTAGATGAGCCTGCCACTTACATGGAAGCAATCAAAAGCAAGGACTGGCCAAAGTGGAAGAAAGCTCTGGAAGATGAATTACAATCTTTAATCAAAAATCATACTTAGGTCTTGGATTGATAAACCAAAATGACATAAGTTAATTGGCTGCAAATGGGTGTTCAAGAGAAAACCAGGAATTCCCGGAGTAGAAGATGCTAGATTCAAAGCTCGTTTGGTTGCAAAAGGCTATTCTTAGGTGGAGGGGATTGACTATCATGAAGTGTTTTCTCCAGTAGTCAAGCATACTTCAATCAGGATAATTTTGGCGATTACAACAAGAGAAGATCTTGAGTTGGAACAACTTGATGTCAAGACTGCCTTTCTTCATGGCAATCTTGAAGAAAGAATACTCATGAGTCAACCAGAGGGTTTTGTGAAAGAAGAAGATGCTGGAAAAGTTTGTCTTCTAAAGAGATCCCTTTATGGTTTAAAACAATCTCCTAGACAATGGTATAGGAGATTTGATGAGTTCATGGTAAGTAAAGGATTTAGAAGGTCTAAATTTGACAATTGTGTGTATTTTTCTAAGTTGGGAGAACAGGTCTACATTTATCTTCTGATTTATGTAGATGACATGCTAATAACATGTACGAAGAAATCAGAAATTCAGAAGCTAAAAGATTTGTTGAGTTCTGAGTTTGAAATGAAGGATCTAGATCCTGCCAAACAGATTTTGTGCATGGAGATTATGAGAGACAGGGTCAAGGGCATTCTGACTTTGTCTCAAGAAGGTTACTTGAAGAAAGTTATCAATGTCTTTGGTATGCAACAATCTAAGGCAGTCAATACTCCTATAGGTGCTCACTTCAAGCTAACATCTGTGAAGGATCAAGATTCAAATATGGAGGCTGCTTACATGAAGTCAGTTCCTTATTCAAATGCTGTTGGAAGTATTATGTATGCAATGGTATCAACCAGGCCTGATATTGCATATGGAGTAGGGCTGATCAGCAGGTACATGAGCACACCAGGAAGATCACACTGGCAAGCAGTAAAATGGCTGCTCAGATATATCAAAGGATCCTTAAAGCTCAAGCTGACTTATACTAGATCATTGCAAGGAAACTTTCAAGTTGCTGGTTATTGTGACTCAGATTTTGCAGGAGATTTAGACAAAATAAGATCGCTTTCTGGATATGTTTTTACAGTTGGGGGAAATGTGTTGAGCTGGAAGTCATCCTTGCAGCATGTGGTAGCTTTGTCAACAACTGAAGCTGAGTACATTTCTCTAACTGAAGCCGTGAAAGAAGCTTTGTGGCTTAAGGGACTAGTCAGTGCTTAGTAGTTCAACAAAGTTTTGTGAATGTGTACTGTGATTCACAAAGTGCAATCCGTCTAACCAAAAATGCTATGTTTCATGAGAGAACGAAACATATTGATATTAGATTGCACTTTATAAGAGACATAGTTGCTAGACAATTGGTGAATGTTGAAAAGATAGCAACTGAAGTAAATCCTGCTGATTTCTTCACCACGGTGATTCCTGTAGGCAAGTTCAAGGAGGCATTGAACTTGCTTAGAATTCTGGAATGAAGATTCGTCGGTGAAATAGGGTATCCTAGTCAGATCCACTGTGATATTCAACTTAGATCCAAGGTGGAGAATTGTGAAGATTGGCTCTAGTTGAAGAATTGGTTGAGGCAGTTAGAATTCAGTTTTGCCGAGTTGGTTTCAAGACTGCAGCTTGTTACTGAGGAGGCTCATGGATTGATGACGTGTCTAATACCCATTGGTTTGAATGTTGTATATATATATATACTTGGTTAATTGTTGAAAAGTCAATATATTGATAGAATAGAAAAAGTTACGCTAGAGAGAGAAGAAAAAGGCTGAGAAAGGTTTTCTATGTAATTGAGAACCTGTGTTTGGTTCCAGAGAAAATCTTGTACTTGTGAGCTGAGAGATTTTCTTGTTGTGATCTCTGAGGGTGTAACTATTCTGAATAGTGGATTTGCTAGGGTAGAAGCTCTAACTTGGATTAGGATTGTTTAATCCGAACCAAGTATAATTGCCTGTGTTCTTTTGTTTACTGTTTCTCTATTCTTGATTTCGTTTGAGTCTACTATTTGTCTCTGATTTCCTCACAAACACAAAAGAAAGCAAAAGAAATAAACATATCACAATAATAATTTATTGTGTATGCTTTATTTTTTTTAAAAGAGGATATGTACACTAGCAGAGAAAAAGAAAACAAGAATATGAGAGGAAAAAATAAATATACTTTAATAAATAATTCAAGTTATTATTGAAGGAGAAATGATGTTATTAAGTACTTAGGACATTATTTAGCTCTAATTCAAAGTAACATTTTCCAATTTTGGGAGTAATAAAATAAAATTTTTAATTTTTTATGGGGCCTATATATAAATTTCATGTAAATAAACATATATTTTTAACATCCAACTAAAGAAGAACCTGTTGTTTAGGAGTGGATGAAACGTTTCGTTGGTTTCTCCCTAATAAGTCACGTTGTTTTTTTTTCTTTGGCCCTTCTTTTTGCACCAATAGAGAGAGGGAGAGCTGCATGCGAAGGAGAGAAAGAGAGAGGAGTGGTGGGCCTGCATGAGGAGAGAGAGAGAGAGCCATGGAAAGAAAAAAAGAAAGAGAGAGAGTGGTGGGTCCGCCTAGGAAAAGAGAGAGAAAGAGAGGGGAAAGGGGACTATGTGATCCATCCATATTTTTGATCTGATGATCACAAAAAAATTTTGGTTTTATTTATTAATTATTTTTATATTTTTATATTTGCTTATTAATTTTAGGCTTATTTGTAGTTTAATTTTGTCCATTTTAATATTCCGATACTGCTTAAATAAAAATGTTACAAATGATTCAATAAAAAATAATTTTAAGAAAAATACATTAAAATAAAATAAAATCACACCAAATTAAGTAAAAACAAATTAAACAAAATAAAGTGGAATTGATTTAAACATAGTAAAATAACTTAAAATTTTCTTTTTTTGTCTTTCGCTTCAGATCTTTTTCTCGTTCCTTTATTTCTTTTACGTCATTTTTCTTCTTCTTCATCTTCTTCCTTTAAATAATAATAATAATAATTTGAGAACTGTTGTTTTAATGAATCACGCACACAATAAAAACTAGAGGTTATAGATTTTTTGAGGGGGGCTTAAGCCCTAGTCCCCGCCCGCCGCCGCCGCCCCCCACCACCATTCAAGTTCAAGTTTAAATGAGTATTTGTTTATAAAAAAATAAAAAAGAGTTTCAACTATTTAATGTAGCTCATCTCCATTCTTTACAGATGCCAATGTTCCATAGCTTCTTTAATAACCAAGGTTCCTCCCCATTACAACAGATCCCAACATCACCCTCTAAAAAAACATACCAACGCGACATGACTCATCTGTTATGTAGAACTTTTCATTAGTAAGCATGCACTTAAGGTATTGGAAATTAATCTACATTCTTCGCCATTTGTATTTAGGGATTTTTTATGGTAGATCTTCGTCACATCAAATTAAAAATTTATGCAGAACAGAACAGTAAAGAATTATCAGTAGTTCATTTTTTTAACCCTACCATAGAAGCTTCCTGATATTTATCGTTTCCATGATGTTTGTCGTTTGGGTATTGTTACCTAAAAACGACATGCCGTTACTGCATAACTGCCCTTCAGCGAGTGTAATGCAACATGTCGTTAGGTGTTTCAGAGTCTTTTAGCTTCCAAGTCTAATAAACGACATTTTCGATTTTCATGTTAAGTGGCCAAACGACATTTTGTAATCAAAATAGAAATTTTGTAATAAACGACATTTTCGATTTTCATGTTAAGTGGCCAAACGACAAATAGAAATTTTGTAATAAACGACATTTTCGATTTAAGGTAATACGACTTGTCGTTTTTTAATTAAAATATAAGCTTCTTTTTTTTTTTTTTTAAGGAATTAAAATATGAGGCAATCCCTCAAGAACTGACGGAACGAATAATTGAAAATAAAGGAAGTGCCAAAAACGGAAGATTAACAATAAAATAATATGTTATGAATCATTTATTGGTAAGAAATGTTTGTTCTGAAGTTACAACCATAAAATATTACAAGCGTAAAAGTTTTTCTCTTCTCATAAAATAAAATGATAACAAATTTGAGCTAATGATATGGTACATGATTTGCAGAAGCTTTAATATCAACTAAATAAAAGAAAATCATTTTAGTTACAGCTTGGTGGATTTAGACATTTATATACAGCAGATGCAGGTTGCTTGTAAGTAGGTATGCTACTTGGGTCAACAAATCTGACTTCCCCTGGTGCAAAAGAAAGTTCTCTGTGCCTGAAATAGAAAACCAAGAACATTATTTGAAAACAAAGCTTAGTTCCTCATGTTATAACAACAAGGAGATTCTTCATGGCAAGTAACAAGATCAAATTGTGGGGTCGAGAAAAAAATTACCGTCGCAGATCGAGGCCTAATAAACCGGCTTGGAGGACCGTCAAATTGTCGGAATCTGGTGAGACAATGATCACGGTGTCACCGGAGTATTGAGTCTCGAGGATCGACATGAGCTGTGTCACGCGTACAAACACATCTGCAACACTCTCATTCGGGGTTCCGTCGTCAATAGGAGGAGGCTTTGTGGTTGGAGAAATACTATCTGATGCATATACCTGACAAACACATTGCCACATTTATATGACACTTTCTTCTCAATGGAAATCCCACTTGGTAGAGTGAAAAATAAGTTCTTTTTTTTCTTTTCTTTTTACAATATGTTTATTGTGGAAGAGAAATTTATGTTACTTCTGAAACTGAATCCAAACTCTTTCCTTCATAAGCTCCCAATCCACGGGCATCCAGAAAGCTATACTCTGGGACAATATAGCTACAACCAAAAAAAAAAAAAAAAAGTTTTAACATTTTCAGTTAAAAAAAAAAAAATCTCATTGCACTAATATGCAAATAGAGTGAATCAACACAACTCTAGAATGCCAATAAGAACAACGAAGTGTGAAAATCTCAAAACATTTCTCCATAAGAACCACATGTTTGAACCAATTTGACACCGATTCGGACCTTCGACCAATCCCATTAAATGATGCAATGATCTCTGCAGCCTGGTAAGCCCTCTGAGTGATGGAAGGCCAAATCCAACAGCCCTTTTCACAAGCCCCCATTTCCTTCAACTCAAAAGCTGCCTTCACTGTCTGCTTCTTCCCTCTCTCCGACAAGCCGCTATCAACCGATGTTTTCGCCACCGGGTTCGTGTTTATTATCCCCAAGCTCTCAAATTCAGACTCCCCAGCCCTCACCAGAAAGTACCTTCCAACACCAAAAGAACAGTACCGAATACCAATCACATAAATCATTCACTTATAAGTAGAAAGTTCACTAATATCAACACGCTTCATGTTTCACTGATGAGAAAGTGAAAGAAACTATAACAAGCACAACATGTCTTGAAAAAGAAGATAAATAAATAAATAAATAAAACACTCAACTGTATCCCAATACTATAGTAATATATGGTCATAGGGTCAAAATTTAATTATTTCTAATGTAACAAAGAACAAATACCACAAACCATAAAACCCCATTATTTTCCCTCCCATTTTTCTCCATTTTATATGAAAATTGAAGCAAAAAAAAAAAAAAAAAGGTACACAAGCCACAAAATCCCATATTTTATTTTCTTTTCTTTCCTCCATTTTCTTCGCAACCAAACAAGGAATGAGCTAGAACAAAAAGAAAAGCTTGGTGGGGGTTTTAATGAATTACCGGTTGGTGAGGCGAACCGGGGGCATCTGAAATAGGCCACGAGCAAAAGCTTTCTGTGAGAATATTGATTGAAGACCAAAATCCACGAAGTGGGTTGTGGAGGAGAGAGTGAGAAAAGCAGAGATGAGATTTCGGCGGTTGATGGGCAAGATTGAGTTTTGGTGATTGTTGATGGACGGCGTTGATGGAGGCAGAGATGGGTTGTTGTGAGGAACAGGAGAGGCTCTAAGAGAGGAACAGATTGCCAGCATTATGGCGGGTCTTTTGGTGTTTTGCTAAAAACTAACTACATCATCTTCTTGGGACTTCACATCCAGCAACAAAAATCTTCTTGGGACTCTACTACCACGTTCAATCACCACTCAGCATGTCGTTTACTGGGATATGGGACATGTCGTGTCGAGTAAACGACGTGTCGTTTGGTGGTAATCACTCTAATGAAAAATAATAATGTTAAAAAAAGTTCCATCATTAAAAAGTCTCACCATGATACTGTAGATAGAAATTTGTTGCAAAATGTGTTTTGGTAATTTGGGAATATTAAAAATGTCAAAAAATTGCCTATGTTTTACTTGGTCTAATGGCACCGAGGGTTTAGGTGGAATGGAGTTTGGGAAGAGATTGTGAGTGAGCTGCACACAATAATTCAGGTTCCTGACCTCTATCATGAGTCACCAATCTCCGAGCCCAGGCAGCCGCCTCCAGTGTAAGGTAATGACTAGAGGTCTCAATTGGGCCAGGCCGGGCCAGCCTGCTACAATGCACAATTCGGCACAACCCGGCCTTAAATTGTTACAGGCCCGGCCGGCCCGACACGTTTAAAGGGTTAAGGTTGGGCCTCATTTTTTCAGCCTGCGGTCCAGGCACAATCCTGACCCGTTGAAGGCCCAGGCACGCCCAAGACCCGTGAAGGACTTGACACGGCCAGCACAGGCCTAGGCATGGCCCTACCCATTATTAAAATTTGAATTAGTAATTTAAATTAAAATTACTAAACATTATTAAAATTTGAGCTAGGGAAAATTAATTTGGTGTTTATTTTCCACCATTATGGTCCCAATTCCTATTCCTAGAGTGCCAAAGTGTAATAATTCACTGATATTGCTCATTGTTTTACATTACCATTGTTACTGATGGACGAATTTTTGTTCTCATAAACATTGGGAACAAAAACAGAACTAAACATATTCTTCTTGATCGTCTATTAATTATTAATTTAGTATATTACTTAATTGGGCAAGTTTTTATTTTTTTTATTTTCTCTACTGAATATACACTTTTTATGTCATCGTTTCGTTCTTCAGAGCTCATCAAACCATATTAAAACTTGAACCTTCTATGCACAACCTAAACGACATTGCTTTGGACATCTTTTCTACGTTACAGAGATGCACTACTCTAAGAACTCTTAAGAAAGCCCATGCAAAGATCTTTCCTCACGGTTTGTACGACACACATTTACTAACTAAAATCGCCATATTGTATGTTTCATTCAATAAGGTCGACAATGGAAGAAGTGTGTTTGAACGTGCAAATAAACCATGTAGTTATGTATGGAATGTTATGATAAGGGGATCTGCCAATGAAGGTCGTTTTTTCCCATCTTTGGGACTTTATTCCAAGATGATGCAAAAGGGTCTAAGACCCGACAAGTATACTTTCCCTTTTGCTCTCAAATCTTGTGCTGGATTGTCTGATTTGAAGCTGGGAAGGTTGGTTCATCAGCATTCAGTGTGTTGTGGTTGTCAACATGATGTTTTTGTTAGTGCCGCTCTGGTTGATACGTATGCGAAATGCGGCGACATTGAAAGTGCTCGTCTGGTGTTTGATAAAATGCCTGTGAGGGATTTGGTTTCTTGGACATCCATGATTTCGGGCTATGCCCACAATGGATGTAACGGTGAGACGTTGGTGTTCTTTGACTCGATGTGTGATTCGGGGATTCGACCAAATCGGGTAGGCATTTTGAGTGTTCTTCTGGCTTGTGGCAATTTGGGAGCTTTGAGGAAAGGTGAATGGCTTCATAGTTATGTGATCCAAACTGGATTTGAGTTTGATGTCCTTGTTGCAACTGCTGTCATGGATATGTACACCAAGTGTGGGAGTTTAGATTTAGCTCGTAGATTGTTTGATGGTACGCCGGGGAAAGATGTAGTTTGTTGGAGTGCAATGATTGCGAGTTATGGGATTCACGGGCAGGGAAGGAAGTCACTTGATCTTTTCGATGACATGTTAAGAGTGAAAGTGATGCCAAACCATGTGACATTCACTTGTGTTCTCTCGGCTTGCAGCCACTCTGGATTACTAGAAGAGGGCAAGAGGTGTTTCGAGTCGATGGTAAAGGAGTTTGGTATTGTGCCGCAACTCAACAACTATGCGTGCATGGTGGATCTTCTAAGCCGTTCAGGACAACTATCGGAAGCAGAAAAACTGATAGAGAGTATGCCAGTTGAACCGGATGCAAGCATATGGGGTTCTCTGCTCGGGGCATGTCGAATTTATGGCAATCTAGATTTAGCAGAAAGAATTGCGGATCGCATTTTTGAACTCGATCCCTTTCATGCTGGCTATCATGTTTTGCTCTCAAACATCTACGCTGCAAAGTCAAGATGGAAAGAGGTCGAGAAGGTGAGAAAGTTGATGGTGAAAAGAGGAGCCAATAAAGTTCAGGGATTTAGTTTGATTGAGTTTAAGAACGTTGTTCATAAGTTCGGGGTGGGAGACAGGTCTCATCCTCAGTCGGGCAAGATCTATGCCGCGCTTGCAGAGTTGGCTACTCCAATGAAACGTCTCGGTTATGTGCCATTAACAGATTTGGTTCTTCATGATATTGAGGAGGAAGCAAAAGAGGAAGCACTTCTTTACCATAGTGAAAGGTTGGCCATTGCTTTTGGCCTCATTAACACTTCCCCAGGGACTCCAATTCGTGTTACAAAGAATTTGAGGATATGTGGAGACTGTCATAATGCCATTAAGATTATCTCGAAAATCGTGAATCGGGTTGTCATTGTGAGAGATATGCATAGGTTTCACCATTTTGAGGACGGACTTTGTTCCTGTGGTGATTATTGGTAATCAAATGCATGTTTGGTTTTGATTCTTTCTAGCTTTTTGCTTTTTCTCCTACAAGTTTTTTCTTTTGTTTTGTTCTGCTTTTTTTTTTTTTTTTTGCTTTTTTTTATTTGGCTCGGAAACTGACTCGCAAAATTAGAGAACCATTATGTTGATTATGCATAGAATATCAATCAAGTCTGATGAAAATTTTGTTATGTCATCTGTTGTGTGGGAAAATGTGGATGACGCGTGGACAAACAACAGTGCGACACGTGGCCTTACTTTCCCTCAAAAGGCAACAACCTTCGACGAGGGGGGGGATTCCCTTTCCTTCTGCCGCAAGGGAAGCTCAACCTTCGACGCCAACGTCTCATGACGGCGACAGTTCGTACCGTCAACCTTACGGCAGGAATCCTTCGGGAAGAAAGCAATTGCCAAGAAAGAAAACTAGGCTGAGCAAATAGAGACAGCGAGAGGAATGCCCGAAGAGGGAAAAGCCTGACATCGCCAGTTGCGTGCGGAAATGGGAGATGTCTGCAGTACAGGCATTAAATGCAAACCCTTAAACCGCCCCTGCGGGGGACAGAAAAGGGTTACAGCTGCGCACAGAGCCGTAATGGGAGACTAATTGTCTAAGTGAACAGTGCGCAAAAGTGATTAGTGGGCTACGGTCTGGGCCTAGAAAGGCAGACCACTTGAGTGCTTTTCAGCCTACAAGAGAAAACCCCCCGACGAAGGAAGCTCAGCTATAAAAGGAGAGAGGCCTCATACAGAAGAGAGGTTGATCTTTCCTGAGAGAAAAGAACAAGAGAGCAATTTGTGGTGTAAATTGTAACAATCTCAAAATGAATAAAAAACCACAGTGGATGTAGCTCTTCATTTTATAAGAGTGAACTACTATAAATCTTGTGTGTTTTTTTACTTTAAGCATTTTTTCTTACATTGCTCACTACACAAAAAATACCACAAGCACTTCACTGTCTATATTAAGTATACAGTCAACATTAAGCCGGTAATTTAACGGGATATCTAGCGGTGATCCGGCCCATTTATGTTAACGAGTTTTTACCGTCAACACCATCCTTACCAGAAAACTCTTAAATCATTATGCAAAACCATATATGAAAATGGAAAATAATTTTATGAGAGAGAGGAGTTTTTCCTAATGATGTCGTTTTCAGTGTTCTCCCTTTCAAAGTTCACATGAGATTGTTAGACCGATTGATACGATGTAGTATTGTTGATACGTTTTAAGAATATTTAAGGCTCACCTAATTGTGGGTCCAGTCACAATTGAAGAGACCAGCTCACTCACGTTGATGAATGTACCCATATGGGGCTGCACGGATAAATATGATAGCAACAATTCATAATGGGGCATGATAGCTAAATTGGAGGGAGGCAAAAATATTTGAGAGATGCTAGAAAAGCTGTAGTTTTTACTACTTACCGATAGCCATAATTGCTGATATGAAGAATTAAAGGGGGAAAAGATGTAAGTGCTTCTTACATTTTAAAAAAAATGAACCTCTTTTCAAATAAATCCCTTTTTTTTTTTTGCTGATATAAAGTTCCGAGTGTGTTTATAAAATAAATCATTATTATTATTATTATTATTTTAAAATATAATAATTATTGTTGACAACAGTTTTTTTGAATATATTGATTATCACAGCGAACGGCAGACTTCGACTCTACAGTTGCACTTTCTAAGATTCTCTATGATCACTCGTTTAGTTAAGAGTAAAAAACAAGCCAAAAAGGCGCAACTCTAACTAATCTCTGTTCACTACCAAGCCAAGATGCAACTCCAACTGCTCTCTGTTCACTATCTAGCTTTAAGCAATTTTAAATGTACAATTTGATACCCTCTCTGAAAATCTGTTATAAAGACGGTACAGTGTATTCAGTAACACAATAATAGAAAAATTCTCCTTCTGTCCTCTTGTTTTGAGAGCTTCATAGGCAGCCAATCTGTGGCCATCTCTCTCTCTCTCTCTATGTCTCTCTCTCTATCTCTCTCTCTTCTATCTCTATCTCTATCTCTATCTCTCTCTCTCTATCTCTCCCCTAGATAGCAGGGAAGGACTTGCAAGTGGTAACTGCAAATGCACGCCTTACAAGTTTAGTTGGCTAGTAAAGTCAAAAAGGAAGCATCTTCTTTATACCACAATTCCGATATTATAATTGGAAAGCTCTAGGATTTATCAACACCATGGACTCCTGAATTACTCCTTGGCCTCTTAAAACTTCTTATAATAATAATAATAATAATAATATAAAGTAGCCTTATAATCTTGATCCTCGTGTACTGTTTATATATATGTATATATATAACAAAGTGTTTGATCCTCGTGTAAATTAGAAACTTAGAATATGTTCTGTCTAACTCTACTCACTGAAGACCAAACTTGAAAAAAAAAAAAAATGCCTTGATTACCTAACCCCAAACGGCTAGAACTATCGCTAATCCATCATTTTTTAAGCTTTTACTCAGCCTTTTGTTTCAAAGATTAATCACTTAACCATATATCATCACCCGCTTTTGTACTGATTTCCTTTTTATTTCAAAGAAGAATAGTGTTGCACACTTTTCCGGCACGCTTTTATAAAAGCAAAAATTTTGCGTAAAGAAAAGAAAATAACAATCACAAAAAACATACAAGACACCCACACTCTTCTTAAGCGCACACACACACACAAATTCACTGTCTCTTCTTGTACCAGTCCATTTCTCTCCATTGTTTTCTCGTCTCTCAACACCCCACAAGTGTTAAAAAAAAAAAAAAAAAAAAAAAAAAAAAAAAGCCATGAGAAGCTCTCTTATTTTGCTCTTATCTCTCTTCTTGCCATCCCTAGTAAGAACTAATCTTCACAAACAACCATTTTAATCTTTTTATTATTATTGTTATTATTATTATCATTTTTGGATTTTCCTTATGCTAATGTTTTTTGGTTTTTTCTTTTTTCAGGTGTTACATTTACAAGCAAGTGCTGGTAGTGAAAGCATAAACAAAAACAAGAATCCATTTACAGCAAAGGCCTCATTGATAAGGTATTGGAACAAGCAAATCTCCAACAATCTTCCCAAACCAAACTTCCTTCTCTCCAAGGCCTCTCCACTGGGGCCCACCGAGACAGCGATTCTCATCAAACTCGCCACTCAAAAGAACCTCTCAGCTCACCTCGAGTCGTTCTGCTCACTCGCCCACCTGTTCTGCTCGTTCGACGACTCCAAAAACGACGTCGTCTCGAGCAAGAAGGACTCCAACTTCGCGACCTACGCCAACAAGAACTTCGCCAACTACGGCGCCGCCCGGCTCGGCGGCGGCGACTCGTTCAAGAACTACTCGGCCGAGTTGAACTCACCGAACGACTCGTTCAGGAAGTACAGCCGGGGATCGAACTCCCACGGCGAGGGATTCGACAACTACGCCGCCGACGCAAACGTCGCGACCTCCACTTTCACCAACTACGGCGCCGACGCCACCGCCGGCTCCGGCGAGTTCAAAACTTACCACCGCCAAGTCAACGTACCGAACCTCCGGTTCTCCTCCTACGACTCCGCCGCCAACGGCCACCGCCTCTCCTTTTCGAGCTACGCCGCCGAGACAAACTCCGGCGCCGAATCCTTCGTCAGCTACTCCAAGAACGGCAATGGCGTCCCGAGCGAGTTCGGGAGCTACGGCGAGGGGTCGAACACCGTCGGATCGGGATTCACCGGCTACGGCGAGTCCGGGAACGGCGGTAACGACACTTTCAAGGGCTACGGCCTGTCGGGAAACAATCCGAAAAGTGACTTCAAGAGCTACGGCAGCGGCGGAACTGCCGGGATCGACCAGTTCTGGAACTACCGGAACGGAGCGAATGTCGGCGGCGATTCGTTCCTTTCCTACGCGAGGAATTCGAACTCAGGGAAGGCAATTTTCGTGAACTACGGCAAATCGTTTAACCTTGGAAACGATTCGTTTAAGGAGTATGGGAAAGGGGCGACGGGTCGGACCACAATCGGGTTCAAGTCCTACAGCTTGGGTCGGACCTTCAAGGACTATACCAAAAACGGCGTCGTATTCATGGAGTACAACAATTTCAGCACGGCTGAGAGTGGCAATGTCGTAAATAGACGGGTTGAGGAGGGCAAATTTTTTAGAGAGTCGGCACTGAAGAAAGGGAATGTGATGGCGATGCCCGATATTAGGGACAAAATGCGGAAAAGGTCGTTTTTGCCCCGGTACTTATTGACGAAATTGCCCTTCTCGAAGATGAGGTTGGATGAGTTGAAGGTGATATTCCACGCGCAGGATGGCTCGGCTATGGAACGCGTGATTATCGACGCGCTCGACGAGTGCGAGAGGGCTCCGAGCCCGGGCGAGACTAAGCGGTGCGTGGGCTCGGCCGAGGATATGATTGACTTCGCGATCTCGGTCTTGGGACGTGATGTGGCAGTCAGGACTACTGAGAACGTGAGTGGGTCAAAAGGGGAGGTGATGATCGGGAAAGTCAGAGGGATCAACGGTGGGAATGTGACCAAGTCGGTTTCGTGTCATCAGAGCTTCTTTCCTTACCTATTGTATTATTGCCACTCTGTCCCCAAAGTGAGGGTCTACGAGGCTGATATTCTTGACGTGAAGAGCAAGGCCAAGATCAATCATGGTATTGCCATCTGTCATCTCGACACGTCGTCGTGGGCTCCCAGTCACGGCGCCTTCGTGGCGCTTGGGTCGGGCCCCGGGAAGATCGAAGTTTGCCATTGGATCTTTGAGAATGATATGACATGGACGGTTGCTGATCATTGAGGAGACAAAAATACTATATCTTGGTTTTTGTGGAACACTTTTATTTTATCATCCATCAAGAGTGATGTTTAGTTTGATCAAATTTTACTGCCTCTACAAATAGTTTTTATTTTTATTTTTTTTATTACCTACAATTTATGATTGAACAGGAAGGGTTATAATACCCACTCGTATTGTTGTTGAGGTTGAAAAAAGGCCGTAATTTAATATTTGTTTCTTCCAAATGTTACCAATCATGTTTTTAGTAAGGCCTCGTTCGTTTCGCTGATTCGAGTTTAGAATTTGAGTTGAGATGTGATTTTATGTGAGAGCATTTTACTGTAGTAAAAAAATTAGATGTGACTGTTTGTGAGAGCTTTTTACTGTAACAAAACTCGAATTCTAAACTCGGATCAGCAAAACGAACGAGGCCTAAGTAACCCCAAGTTGTTGCGTCTGTTATGGCAACTGAATTACGAAGGAAAAAAAAAAAAAAAACGAGTTCAAATATTTGTTAAGAAAAATGTTACTCTTGTGAAGATATAGAAATGTCTCATTTTGTTCTCTATACTAAAGTTTCAAAAAATCTAGCAAAATGTACAGTCGAATATCATTCAGGTTAAAAAAAAAAAAAAAAAAAAACCTACTTTAAAGCACAGGTAGCATAAAACACCCAAAATGAAGAAAAAAGAGTAAATCCATCGCAAGATTTTATGCTTATTCGGTTATTGTCACAAGCTTTTTTTGTGCTTATTCCGAAGCTGGTTTACTGACCATAACCGGATTGTATACTTAAAGAAGGTGATGCTTAGCTTCACAAATTTCAAAAGAAAGATCCGGGGTCTGTTCACTGTTGAGGTGTAATGAATGTTTAAAAAGAACATAACAATATTTGCGGTGGTGTTTAGAATTGTTCTTATTTTTGTTTTGACGTTTTTTGAGAAAAAATAAAAATAAAAACGATTCCAAAATAACTTTTGGCATAATTAAAGTCAAAAAACAGAAATAAAAATAATTTTTTGATTTAGTGTAATATTTTCGTTTTCTTCTCTCTCGAGCAGAGAGGAAGAGACATTAATGAGTTTTTTTATACTGAAAATAATCTCTTGATAAAACTAACAAATGCATTTTCAAAAATAATTTCTGTCTAAGATTGAAAACATTTTCATTTCCATTTTCATACAAAAAATAAAATCATTTTGGAATGAGTTCCAAACGCGCTCAATATGTTTTTTTTTCCTTCAAAGAATTAAGGCTTTGTTCGTTCGAGTTAAAAACTTAAGTTAAAAAGTGAATTCATATGAGAAAAAATATTGTAACAAAAAAAGTTAAATTTAAATTTTTATAAGAGAAAATACTATAATTAAAACTTAAATTATGATTTGAAATAACTAAACAAACGAGACCTAAAGGTGTGGAGGTGGACAATAAACCATAACTATTTACTATTATATTATTGTGTACGTCAAGGTGGGATCTAAAAGCCTTATACATTAAAGAAATATTTACGTTGAGCAATAATGATTTACATTGCAAAATGGAATGCGTCACACTAAAGATTAACGAATATGAAGTATAAGATTGAAAATAGCACCAAATCTTATACAATTTGTCTCGTTCATTTCACCGATTTAAGTTTTAGTTTCAAGTTTTTACAGTTAAAAGCTCTCAGAAAATGTCACATCTAACTTTTTATGTTACAGGTAAAAGCTCTCAGAAAAATATCACATATTAGTTCGAATTAAATAACTCGAATCCGTGAAGCAAACGAAACCTTTATATCTATTAAACCACTCGAGAATAATTTCTATGTCATTACGCTACCAATTTAGTAGTACATTAATATAAAGGAGAAAAATATAGAATTTATCTTTGAGAGTGCATGAATTTATACATACTTCTTACTCTTGATAATTATTCTTTTATTAGTATAATTATTTAACTAAAAAAATTATAAATTAAAAATAAAAAATAAAAATTTTGACCTATGTATTTTTAAAAAATATTTATTAAGGCATTGTTCTGATTTGAGTTTTCAATTTTAAGTTTATATAGTTAAAAACTTTTAGAAAATGTCACATTTAATTTTTCTGTTACAGTTAAAAATTCTTAAAATATATCACATTTTAACTTAAATTAAAAATTTAAATTTGTGAAGTGAATGAAAGATTACGCATGTCATGTTTGGATGTCGGTAGAACGTACATGATCCATAAAGCAAAGTAGTCAGAAACCGTCCACTCTCTTATATAACCGAGTGATGGAAATGGGATCAAGAGATGCGCGCGTGTGTTGGGTGAAAATGATTGTGCGTGCGGTCGTGAAGTTAAAGCCAGACAAGAGCAGCACTGCAAATCGATGTTTTTGCAGCTTTGAGTGCAGTTAAAGAAATGCACCCAACAAATCTTGATGGCATATTTACAGTGCAGATTTTTTGGGCCACCTATTTAGTCTGTGGCCCCATTCCATCACACTCTATCCGTCCTCAAATATTACAAAAAAAAAAAAAAAAAAAGAAAGATAGATTCTGTAGATGTTTGGTAAATGAATTTATATCATAATTTAAATCATAATTTATAATTTATTATAATATTTTTTTTTCATAAAAAATACATATAAATTAAAAATGGTTCTAATATCATGATTCTAATCTGAACCAAACGTCTCTTATATTTCTGTGATCACTTTTAAATATAAAAATTTAATAATATAATGTGGTATGATAATAATTTAGTCTTATTAATTGTTATTAATTTTTTAATTAAATATTTAATTTATTACAACTATCAAATGAATATCTTACTGTTATAATAATAATACCAATTGATGAATAAATGTTAGAGTAACCATTAAAACTATATATATATATATATATTTTATACTATTTGATTTCTATATTACTAATTTTCTTTCTGCATAATCTTTTTTATTTTTATTTATGTAATTTTAACTAGATTCAATAATTAACAAATTCTACCAATCAACGTAGATCTTCCTGCAAAAGGACCCTTCTATTTGATCGTATTGTGAATAGGATATAATCTGACATTGACAAATGTCTAATGTTTGCTGAGTAGGTGCTTCAAATTAGAGTTGGGAAAGTAACTATTTTGTATTTTTTGAATAATTTATTATTTTGTGTTTTTAAGTGAGGATTAAGTTATGGTCTATTAAGAGTCTATAAATAAACGCTTTGTTAAGGTTTTATGTGTTCAAAGAAAAATGTAGAGAAAAAGTGTATCCTTTTAAGAGAAATAAAGAAAAGTATGAAGAGAGATAGACAAGAGTGTAAGGGCTTTGGGTAGAGAGAAAGTGAGAAAGTTTGTTGAGTGTACAATTCTGAAACTATTAGTGAAATTTTTCTCTATTTCTCGTGAATGTAATAAATTTTTTCGAACCATGTAAATCTTTCTCCACGCTTTTTATTATTTTTGTTTCAGTTTATTTTTTTGCTGCGTGAATATAGAGGTGTATTTTTCCTCAGCAATATTTTATTAGGAGTTCTTCTTCCTACCATTCATGAAAGACCGTCTTGAGTTATAACGAAGTGATGATATAACATAACATTCATCTTATGTGACAATCACTTTGGAAAGATAAAGTACTGGAATAAAGTAAAAAAAATTATTATTTGTATACCTTTTTAATGACATTGTTTATATAAAATAAATGAAATGTTACTCTAACTTCCACATATTATAACATAGAACGAAGGACCATAGCTTTTGCTTATCATTTTTATTTTTATTTTTGCTCTGTAGCTGTTGCTTATCTTTTAATTGTATTATAAGCTATGAAATGGAATATCATTGAACTAAAAATGTATGATAAGTGAGATATTGAATGTTAATAATGGTATCCGTAATCTATACCTAAATCCAAGTTTTGCAGCTAACTTCACTAATCTCATAGATATAAATAAAATCTCAATTAACTTAAATCTTAATTATTTCATCATAACTTACGGCTTTCTCTTGAGCACGGGGAGATTATTATTGCAGCTATTACGCTGAGGAATCATTATAGTCTCCGAACTTGTAGACAAACGAAAAAGTAAAAAAAAAAAAAAAAAAAAAAAAAAAAAAAAAAAAAAAAAAATAATAATAATGTTGTGCTTGTTCCTATGATTAGCATTGTTTCCATCTGTGGTTATTGATCATTTGATGGATTTACCTGCAAATCATGTACAAATTTGTACAAACAATATCAACTCTATAATGGTTCACGGTGAGAGGCTGATTCGACAGAAAATAGAAGGGAACTTTTCGTGCTTTAGCAAATCGCAAAATGTGCTTTTTATTTGTGTAATTAATTCTTTGAATTTTTCAAATTGTTGTAATTTGAATCAGATTAATAATATCGTGTTGGTGACAAAAATGTTCATGTGCGTGTCTTGCATTTTGGCATTTTAGCCCGTGAATATTTTGTGTTTTGACAAATTGTAGCACGGCCTTTTAATCTAGCAACTAGTCAATTTTCTTTCTGTCATCATTTTGTTGATTTCATATTTGGCCCTATTGCAACAGTTTAATGTTTAAGAAGTTAATTATTAAATTTAAAATTTTTGCTAAAACACAAAAAGAGAATAGAATACGGTAAATCCACTCCAATTTATAGTCATTTTGATTACCTATAAATAAACATGTCATCATTGTATTTTATTGAAATGACACATTTTATTCTATGCTTTCAAGAATGTTATAATCATTTCCTATGTTTCTAATTTCATGTTTTTTTTAATTTTTTTTAATTTCATGTTAAAAACCTCTATTTTGGCCTATTTTTTTTTATCAAACTTATGTGTGAAAAGATCATTTAGCCGTAAAGTTGACCAAATTAGTCAAATTTAAGGGGTTATGAGGTATGTTAAATTGTTATTTTCACACTTTAAGTTTGACTAAATTTTATTAAAAGGAAGGTCTTTTGACTTGAAATTAAAAAACAACGAATGGTTTTGTTTTTTTATTTTTATTTTTATTTTTAAAAGAGAGAAAAAATCCACAACGAATGGTGGTAGCATTATTGAATTACAATGTAAAACTTGACCTTCCATAGCCACTTATCCCTATTTATAATGCAATTTTGTAGTTTTCTTAAATTTGCTCCAATTGTCGAAGTCGTACTTCCTTATAAGTCAAATTTATAACAAAACTGCCATTTTCACCTCAAAAAATTGGAATTTTTGTGCATGTTTGGTGTTGATGGTGGATTTTAATCAACAAGAAATTATAGCTCTCCAAGGATACTCACGCTAATCACTCACA